TCATATGACTTAAATGTGTTGCAATTGCAGTAAAACTTACTTCAACTACAACTAAATGCATGATGCTAGTATACTGGACTCGTACTTGTTAGTTTGTGGGATCAGGGGTTCGGGTATCGTGTCGGCCGGACGTTGTGTCCTTTGGAAAGACACCTTATTGTACTTAACACACAAATCCTCATCGCTTCGACCAGGTGTGAATTGGTACCTTGCCATAGACAGCGAAAGATCTTGTCAGTACTTTACGTAGATGATTATACACTTGTATAAAAGCAGCATGCACCGTATACTTCCCAGGAAGTTGGGTCTGTTTCAGAAAGTTATCAAGTCTGCTGGAGTAATAATAACATTTTAGAAAGTGAAACATATATAGCTTGCTGTTGAGCAGGACTTTTTGCCATTCAAACGCTATTTTCTTCTTCTTCTTCTTCTTCTTCTTCTTCTTCTTCTTCTTCTTCTTCTTCTTCTTCTTCTTCTTCTTCTTCTTCTTCTTCTTCTTCTTCTTCTTCTTCTTCTTCTTCTTCTTCTTCTTCTTCTTCTTCTTCTTCTTCTTCTTCTTCTTCTTCTTCTTCTTCTTCTTCTTCTTCTTCTTCTTCTTCTTCTTCTTCTTCTTCTTCTTCTTCTTCTTCTTCTTCTTCTTCTTCTTCTTCTTCTTCTTCTTCTTCTTCTTTTTCTCTTCTTCTCCTTCTCCTCCTCCTCCTCCTCCTCCTCCTCCTCCTCTTCTTCTTCTTTTTCTTTTTCTTCTTCTTCCTTCTTCTTCTTCTTCTTCTTCTTCTTCTTATTATTATTATTATTATTATTATTATTATTATTATTATTATTATTATTCCTTCTTCTTCTTCTTCTTCTTCTTCCTTCTTCCTCTTCTTTTTCTTCTTCCTTCCTCTTCTTCTTCCTTCTTCTTCTTCTTCTTTTTCTTCTTCCTTCTTCTTCTTCTTGATGATGATGATGATGTTGATAATGATGCTGTTGGTGTTGCATGTTGTAGTGATTGTGATGATGATGATGATATGAGGAGGAGGATAAGTAGTAGCAACAACAGCAGCAGCAGCGTTTCGATACCTTGGAACTGTAGCATTAAATTTCATGTTTAAGGAGACTATCAACAAAACTCTACATCACGGTTTGTTCATTTCGATCGGGTGGTTGGTGGATGCTAAAGTGTTGTCTGCTCCTCTCCCATCTTCCCCATTCCCCTTTTTCATGGGAGTCTTTGGTGCAGCGGTTAGGTGCTCCACCGTAGCACGCAGATAACCTGAGTTCGATTCTTATGTGGGGAGAATTTTGGTCGAGTTTCTCAGTCTTTCTTGCAGGTGGTTGGAGGGCGCCACTGGTAGATCCTACTTCTTTACTTTCCCTCTGTCGTTTATGTCTGTCTGTCTGTCTTATTTTTTCCCAGCACTAAATGAACGTTATTGTGTCGATGTGCTTCTCTTTACTCAAACAAACAAATAATCGGCCTTTCTATTCGGTCTTAAACTACCTCTCATCCTGGATTGCCCCCCCCCCCCCCCAACACACTGGGTCAAATTCTGCAACCCAAGTAATCTAAGTTGTATTGAGAGGACGGGCGTAAAACACCTACTTTTTAAAATAACATGACCTTGCTGGCTTTCCAAAACTTACTAATGTACTGGCATGGACATGGAATTTCTCTTCTCTCATTGTGTATGTCTTCACTCATTGTGTGTCCTCTTTATGCAGGTCCATGACATGGAATTCGCTCCTTCTCTAGACGTAATTGTGAACGAGACGCTGCCAGCTCTGGACAAGATACGGCAGTCTGGCAAAGCCAAATTTATCGGCATCACAGGATACCCGCTGGACAATTTTAAGTAAGCGATCGACGTTCTAAGACCTGTCTCTTCATAGCCCGCTTGTTTTCGTATTTATTCTTGTGCTTTGTGTGCTGTTGTGTGTCATCTCTATCTCAGAGTAGATATCTTAGAGCTACAGGTTGCTTTCTTTTTGTAAAACATATATAGATAAACCGATCTATTTCTAAGATCGTAGTTTTTTTTAAATCTATCTTTCTGTCTGTCTGTCTCTCTGCCTGTCTGTCTGTCCGCCTGTCTATCCGTCAGTCTGTCCGTCCGTCCGTCCGACGTATACCTGTCAGTCCGTCTGTCAGTCAGTCAGTCTGTCTGTCTCTCTCTCTCTCTATCTTTCTCCCTCTCTCTCTTTCTCTCTCTCTCTCTCTCTCTCTCTCTCTCTCTTTCTCTCACTCTCTTTCTCTATCTCTATCTATCTATCTATCTATCTACCTACCTATCTATCTATCTGTCTCTAGGCATGTGTGTGTGTGTGTCTATGTGTGGCTGTGTGTGTGTCTGTGTGTGTGTGTGATACGCATACATATAGATACGTATACATATGTATTAGGGTGGTAGGCTGGTGCTCCTTCTTTCTAATCAAACATCTATCGTCCTTTTCTCTCCTCCTTTTGTTTGTGTATGTTATTCTCACTCTCACCATCATCATCCAGTGCCAGATCTGCGACAGACATCGGCGATCATGATTTTCCATTCATTCCTCTGCTCGGATGCTCTCAGAAAAGCTACGTTTCCTGATTTTTCCCTGTTACCCATTTGTTTAGGTTCCCTAAGTATGTTGTTCTGGGCCTACCCCTGCCTCGCCTGCCTTCAATTTTGCCAGTGAGAGCTGGATGTTCAAGACCCTTATGTCTATTCAGGTGTCCCAAAAACTGCATTTGTCGTTTCCTGATTCTCTTCTAACACCTCTAATCTCCGGCACTTATACGACCTGATTGTTTTGCGATTGTCGTAAAAAGCTTATTAACACACACACACACACACACACACACACACACACACACACACACACACACACACACACACACACACTCACTCACTCACACACACACACACACAAACACACACACACACACACACACACATTTATATATATACTTTGTAATATTATATATATACAAGTATATATATATATATGTATATTATATATATATATATGTTATATATATATATATATTTATGTATGTATATTATTTATATTATGCTTTGTCTATCTCTATATGTCAATAGGCCCTATACTTCTTTTTCTGTCTGTCTTTCGACCTGTCCGTACGTGTATTTATTGTCTCTGTCCATCTGCCTGTCTGTGTAGAAGTACGGATCTGTTCGTTTCTTTGGTGCTACAGAAATAAAAAGAGCTGGGAGAATTTGTGTTTGCACATTGGTATCAATGTCTGGAACTGGAAAGATGTCATTCCCACCAATGTCAACTTAATTTTGTTTTTCTTTTTCTGAGTGAGTGCTATTTATGTAATTGTATAATTATGATATTTCATCCATTGGTTGTGTTTTAGAATATTACTAGCTGGGCCCCCTTTCGATGAAAGGAATGATCGGTGCATTAACATCAACTGAAAGTCATTGGCCTACTATATTTACACTCTACTGGAATGGAGCAATAAATCCTGAGAGATGCAAAAAAATTCGAAGGTTTAGATATAATGATGTATAGATTGATTCTCTATTCCGTTTTCGTGGTTGTACACTCCAGAATTTCAAAGGTGTGAAAACAGTGTGCACGGCTGTTGAACGGAAACCTCACTTGTTTAGAATGGCGTCTTAGAAGAAGGACTTTTTCAAAATTAGATCAAAAGGAAACTAATGAAAAACTGAAAATTAAACTACAGTGACTTCAGGCTCCTCGGCGGCACTTTGGCCGCCTAAAACTAACTATTATGTATAGATATACGTCTGTGGTATAGTGGTAATACTCTTGGCTCTTGACTTGGCATGCCATGAAAGACTTGTCATGGGGTCTCGTGCTGATATTTTATTGGATTGTTTTGGGTCTCCCACCCCCACCCCGCCCCCTTTCCGGATTGTCTCGATTTAGCCTTCCCTGAAGCAGCCGAAGCTGTGTCCTGCCTCCATGATCTCAGTACTGTCTGTGTGGGTGTGTACTGTAACAATTTGTGAGGCAGCGTGGTGGAATCAGGCTCTCGTCAATGTTTGGGCATGTAGAGTTATTCAGTTATTGGTGTCATCTTAAAGCTTGTTCACTTGTCTTTATTTGTATTTTTAAAAATCTATTTATCTTGAATACAAGTCGAGATATTTGCGAAAGAAGGAGGTGGAGGTCACTTGTTTTCAGAGGTAAAATTAGTGAGAAAGTGGCCGCCAAAGATTAGTTATTTCCTTAGCTTAAGAGTCCGTGGTAACTGAAAATTTACATTTTTTGTGGTTTTAATCAACATTTTTCAGAAAAATCCGCACAGAAATGAGTTCTTTAATGTGCATGAAAGGTGTTCAGCCAAAAAACGAAAATTTGATAAAAATTCAGAAACATGCGGAAAAATGCAAGTTTCTTCACTTTGATTATTTTGACGAGAGCCTGATTCCACCACGCTGCCTCACATTTTAGAACGGATACCCTCTCTGACTCTGACTAAGACCTACAGCCGGTCAGTCCATCTCCGTCCTAATCCCTTATATTACCATTATAAATTCTATCTTGTCTCTTTCTCGTGTTGTCCTCGGATCGTGCCTTTAGCAATAGCCACCGCTGTGTCTCTGTCTCGTTTGGCTCTTTTGTCTGGCTACTTAACTTAAGCTCCTGTTCATCCCATTGACTTCATGACCGCTGTATACAACCTACATGCGCGTCAGCGGGGTTTTTTATGTTGTTTTGTTTGTTTTGTTTTGTTTGTTTGTTTGTTTTGGACGTTGTTGCTTTTTTTTGGGAAGGGGTGTTTGTTGTTTTTTGTTGTTTTGTTTTTT